AGGAAAGTGACGTGACATGTGGCCAAGTATGGTGACCCATACTCGGAATTAGTGCTTCGCATTTATCCCATCCAAAGTGCACACACACAGCAGTGAACACACACACACACCGTGAACACACACCCGGAGCAGTGGGCAGCTATTTTTGCTGCGGCTCCCGGGGAGCAGTTGGGGGTTCGGTGCCTTGCTCAAGGGCACCTCAGTCGTGGTACTGAAGGTGGGAGAGAGAGCGCTGTACATTCACTCCCCCCACCTACAATCCCTGCCGGTACGAGACTCAAACCCGCAACCTTTGGGTTACGAGTCCGACTCTGTAACCATTAGGCCACGACTTTTGATTTTCTTTAACCTAAAGTACTGAAGTTGAAATAAGTATAAAAATAACAAAACTGCTTTAAAAGAACTAATGAACATGTACAAACACACATCAGCATATCAACCATTTAATGAAAGGTTTTCCCCAATAGTACTGTTGTTATGTAACTATTGAAACAGCGTTTCACTGACAAAGAAACCTGCCAACTGATATCCATCCCCAAGTGAACGTGCTAAACCACATGATTGTGTTCAGAATCTATAAGCTCCTCTGTTTTGCTTACCTATCATCTTTTAGCTGCTCCTATAGATCTATAGATTAATTACACATCCATAACAGTGGCAGAGGTTTATAAAACACTGCAAAGCATTTTAAAACATAAAATGTTAAAATCCTCCAGGAATGGGTCATATTAAATGCATATAAAAAAGCAGGGATAGGTCTCGTCAAATTCAATTTCTGTAAAGCTTGAATATTTCATCAGATAAATAAATGTTTAACAGTTAATAATTGTGTAATTTTATACTAAATGAATTATGTTTAATACACTTCATATAAATATGCAATCAGAATGCAGCCACTGTTAAAAGAAAGTGATGTTAAATTTGCTGGGGGAAAAAAGTTAAGGTATTATAAAAAAAAAAAAAAAAAAGAGTTTTTCAAGCAGGGACAAGGCCAACATCAGCCATTCAAATGTTATTCTTATATATATGCACGCACACACACACAGATGCATTAATGCATCATGCTATTAACTTAAGCTTCCATAATCATCACTCTAAATAGCACAAAAACATGTTCGAGAATATTTTATTTTACACTTGAACTGGAAAGTGTATCAGGGTGGGCCAGCTGAAATTACATGGCACCACTCATTCTACTTAATGCTAGTCCTTTGTTAGTCAAAAATGTTGAACTATTACCAGACAAAAAGGTAGAAAACCTGATGATTGGAATGAAGCACGTGAGCCAGAAGGATGTTGTTTTTCCAGCTTTAATGGTCAATGTTTTCACATGTCTCATTACACAGCTTCAGAAGCCAACCTCTGATTGTCAGAAGCATCTTATTCAAAGCCCCTAAAAAGTCACAGAATATGTAGCAGTTAAATAAATAGAGTATGAAAGAATGAATTTGACGGGAAAACATCTATTGTCATCTAATCGTTCAGCACAAAAAAACATGAAAATCTCTCTCTTCACAGTCTTCATGAAAAAGTCGTCTGGTTGCACAGTAAATTCTTTGTATACAGTAAATTATGGCAAATCATTCCATGCTTTACTTCTCATTTCTCTTACAATACATCAGAGATGGCAAAAAACCTTGAATTGTCAGCAGTGTTATCTACCGAGAGGTTTTCTAACCCAAACAAGAATGCAGAACGAGTCACGTGTTCAAAATTCATCTTTAAATTTTAACGTATTTAATTGTGTTGTTCGACAGAAAGTATATTATATACAATCAAAGAGCACTTTCTACATGTCTAATGGCTTGACAGTCTTTAAGGACTGAGATGCTTCCACTAACAACAGTTTTAATTTATTATCCGAGGTATTTCTAATTTTGAAACATGAGAAAATGAGAATGTTGTCTTTTGGGATTCGTAGAGCCAGACTGTATGTTTACAACTAACACTAACAGTATTTCTTTAGGTATCATCTAGCACTCCTAAAAAAAGGAGTTGGTTTATGGGTGAATTTTTTCAAGGTGCTCGTGATGCTTTGATCTACATACCTTCATTTGACTAGTAATTCCATTATGGTGTACATACCATTGCTATATTGCTCCAGATACTATTCTCTACAATACAGTACATCTGAAGAAATACAATAACGAGATGTTACCAAATGAAGGATGACTTTTCATTTAAAAAAAGGAAGGGAATACTTATTGCCAGAAAGTTTGGGAGAGAGCAGCAAATTTAGCATCCTGTCCAAAAATATATTCCTCTTCCAAACAAACCTTGTGGCTTTGAACAGCAAAAAAACGGATATTAGAAATTATGTTCTTTAAGAGGCTGTTCTCTCAGAGGTATTCAGTTTCTATTTGGTACCCTAAATCAGTGTTTCCCCAACCTTTTTTCTGGAGGCACTTCAGCAGGACACATTTTGGATGCATCTCTTATCTGACCCATCCATTTCAGGTCTTGGAGTCTCTACTGAAGAGTTGAGTCAGGTGTGTTTGATTAGGAAGTGTTGAAAAATGTGTAGTGTTGGGGTGCCTCCAGGAACAGAGTTGGGAAATACAGCACTAAACCAGTGGTTCTCAACCAGTTGGTTCCAGGTCTGATTTGCTGCATCCAGTCATACTCTATGGTAATTTGGTGTAAATTTATTTCAAAGTCCTGTGTTGCAAAAGCAAACCAGTTGAAAAGCACTGGCTTAAAAGATGGGAGTGTTGCGTTTTAAGTACAAAGACACAGTCAACAGACTATGCTTTTACATTCCACAGGCACGAGTCTTTGTGTGGGTGGCCACCATTTGCTCGGTCACCACCCAGTACCTCTACTTCACAGTGCCTTTGTTAAGTGAAGCTCCAGTAAAGAAAAGTTAGGCCAAAAGCACACTCTACACAAGTATGCAAACACAGGCGTTAAAATCAATCTCACACAGCTAGAAGTTTTTGCGTTTGCTTACTTGCGTGAAGAGTATGTCTTAAAAGGACTATGTGGAGCTGTATTTCCTACTATAATTTAATTACGTAAGTTAAGATATTTGCAAGTGCACTGCAGTATAAGCATAATCCCCAAAAAGCATAAAGATGAAACTAACACACTGCCTACTCTGGCTTATAACGTATAGCGATTCTTCATCACTGACCTCGTTTGGGTTCACGTAGATGAATTGTCACTATTCCCGTCTTCTAGTCGAGGCTGAACCTCTCTGGCCTGGTCCATAGCGGCCTCATAAAAATGCAGGGCTGTATAACCCTAGCACTGCCCAAGGAGAGGCTAAAGAATAAATGATTAAATATTCAAATGTCCTTCAAGACGGTTGCATCCAGTGGTCGAATTTTAAAAATATTTCAGGGGGGTTTTCCTGTTGCTAATTTTGCATAATGATTACAAAATTTGTGTCATTTTTAAAAAGATTTTTATTTAATGAAAACTTTTCCTTATTAAATGAACTATTATTTATAAGCTTTTTTACTTCTGGTGCCTGAAATGGAATTTTGATCAATATATTGCTAAATGTGTTTTTGTGCTGGTAGTGTTGGCACCTTGTCTCGTTTAGGCCTGTCATGGATAAATAATGATGACAATAAAACCGCCAATAAGTGGCAGCAAGTCCATGTTTTAATAAACGATTTATTGAATCATTCAAATCAAAGGATTCGTTCAAAACGGCTGATTCAATTAGAAACTAAACAAGTGAGTCCATTTGAATGGACTGTTGAATCACTGGCTCACTCGATTCGTTCAAAATCTGATTCATTCAAGGAATGAAACACCATGTTGCTATGCACTGTTGTATAAAATTAATAGCCCATTTGTGCTCGCGCACATGGGCTGATATTCAGAAAAGTACATTGCTATGAATATAAAAATGTAGAAACTCATACATGGGTATTTTTTTCTTTCATTGCTTGAATTATAAGGGCATTCGAACTGTATTCTAACAGGCTTCATCGTGCAGTGAATGCTTTTGGACTCTCAAGACGTGTTTTTGTTTGGTTTTTGCAAAGTTGGTGACTCGATAATGTCAGCTCTACTATCGTCTCTCAATCCCTCACAGTCACACATACAGCACAATAACAATGTCGGGGAACGTCTTTAAATTATAATCAAGGAAAAATCATACCTTTTCTGTAGTCTTTTTTTTAAAGAACTTCAAAAGTTGCGCTTGAACCATTTTGTGCGAAAAATTACGAAATCTTGCTTCCGCTTGTGAGCAGCTTGTTTAAGTACCGAGTTCTGATTGGCCAATCGTCGTTATTTAGTTTGTGAATTATCATAAGTAGAGAATTTTAACATTTTATTTGCAAGATAAGTTTTACATAATACACATTATTAATCTAAGGGGGATGGTGGTTTTACGAAGGGAATGCTTTTTGTCATTTTTTTCAACCAGGGGGATGCCATCCCCCCTCAATTTGAGCCCTGGTAGCATCACCATCGACACATGATGCTTGGTTTTTGGACCACAACTGAAGAGTCAATTATGGTGATTTGTGGCTCAGGAGCAGCTGCCAGTATGTTGATAAGCATGTGTAAAAGATCACGCTCAAACAGAGCGCTGTTGGTAAAAAGGAAGCCTAACAATGGCCAGATGCAATTACCAGAAAAAACGTCTTAACTCCAAATACCAGCAAAGAGATATTCTAAGACCCTGCTGGAAAAACAAGATCACACCAAGCTGGTTTGTAGCTTGTAGTCTATCGAGGTGGTCCTAACCAAGCTTGACCAAGATGACCGGCCAGGTCAGCCTAAACATCACCAGCTGGTAATACAGCTGATTAACCCTCTAGACAAGCTTGGACCAGCAATGACCATAAGAGATTAGCTTCAACTTGCTAGAAACCATGTAAAACCAGGTACCATCTTAAAACTGATTTGGGATTTTCCAGCAGGGTAATGATGGCTTAAATGCAAACAGTAAGTGATGGTATATATGTAGAGAGAGAGTCCTTGGGATATTGAGACACATTCCAGATGTCAGGCATTTAGACTTATATATTTTCCTTCACCATTTTACATTTTAATTTGAGAAACACAAATATTTTTTCTACTTTTAGAACAAGAGCTGTGAGCGTACGTTTGGTTGTGCTCACATCCAATACAAATGAGGTAAGACCTCAAGCTTTCAAGTAATTCCAACATCTCTGGACATTTAGCTGCAAGGAACGGGGAATAAAAGAAAAGAAGTTTAACTATCCTTTCACACTGGTTATTGGGAAAGCCGTAGCGCTCCTTTGGTGCTCCGAGCCATAGACTCTGAGGGTCGCGGATTCAAACTTGGAGCTGGGGATTCTTTGTGTGCCCGTACTTGTCCCACGGTTCGTAAAGTCTGCTGGGAGCTACGTAATGGAAACCGCTTTCGATAACGTAGGGACTCTGAGCGCAGCAACAGCCGTGTGTATTGCACTTCTGGCATTACCATCTTTAAACACTCATCTCGTGGAGGAACATGGCCTTTTTGAGTCATGTTAACTGGTAAATCATACCCAACAATTTCCACTTTGGCACTGGGCTGCCAAGGCCGTAATTCCTTATTCGTGATCTGTGCAGCAGAGCGAAGCGGTGGCAAATGCCCTCCGAAGCAGCTGCGGACAAGTCGGTCACGAGACTGACGCAACAGCTGGACTTCTCGCTCAACGCACACTAGTCCCAATGCTCTCAGCTGTCGCCACAACGAGGCATTGAAGTGATCATACAGTTCCGAATCTATAGCATTCCAGGCTCTGATTTTGGCCGTATTTTCACTGGAAAGGCTGCTCTTGGAGTCAGGTGTGCGCATGTTGAGACTGACGTACAAAACGTCGTCGAGATCCCAAGACAATAAGCGGCGGAGCAGCACCAAGGATTCGTCAAAGTATTCTGAGATCATAACTAACGAGAAAACTCGCTCCATTTCTGCAGCGAATCGTTTCGCATATCCTGGCGCCTCTGAAGATGGCCGGTCTTTATCACCGCCTAGGTCAAAGGTCAGTGTATTTCTCGCATACATTGAATCCTTCTCTTCTGGACGATAGTAGCTCCAAGGGTGGTCCAGGAAAGTCTCTAAAGAGCCATTTGGGACACGTTTAAAGCTAAGACAGTACTGATTGAAGTAGGTAAACAGAGACTCAAACATTGCTCCCGGTTCCCGCAATATCGTGATGTAGATTGTGTTGTTGGGCATGAGGCGTCGTAGCTCAGCCCGGCTGAATCGTAAGTGATTGGTGATGATGTCAGGTGGCGTGGTGTGTGGGTGAACAAAGTGGGCACTGAACGGTCGAGGGTAGCAGAACTGGTGGTCACAGGTGGTAATAGGCAACGCCACAGTGAGGTTGTTGCGTTCAGCAAAGCGGAAGAGGATGTTCTGCACAGTGGAGCTGGCCGTTTTGTGCGTCTTAAGGAAGGCTACACTGGTGTGTTTAGCAGAAGGTCCACTGCTGCCCTGGGTTGAGGAGGCCATGGAGGATGGACAGCCCAACCAGAATGCCTCCAGCGTCCTGCAATAAGAGGGGTGAATTAATGCAGAAATCAAGACATGTTGAAAGTTCAGAAAAATGGTAATGCAAAAACAAATATACCCTACTGATAAAACTTTATCAAACCTTAAGGTCCTTGCACACTGAATATGAAATTCTCATCCGAAATTTTCGCAGATTAAAAAATAAATACGTTGTGTCAATCACGTTTACAATGCCTCCGAAACTTTCATCTGTCATAAAAACATTTGGATCGGATTTTCTGCATCCATAGCAAGCATTTTGAGAGGCGTTTTGACAATTCAGAGCCACCGTACATGCGAACAGCAAAATCCAGAATGGCGCCTGACATATTGATCCACTTCACACTGAATTAAAAAATAAATACGTTGTGTCAATCACGTTTACAATGCCTCCGAAACTTTCATCTGTCATAAAAACATTTGGATCGGATTTTCTGCATCCATAGCAAGCATTTTGAGAGGTGTTTTGACAATTCAGAGCCACCGTACATGCGAACAGCAAAATCCAGAATGGCGCCTGACATATTGATCCACTTCACACTGATTGGTCCTTGCACACCGAGTTCATGGAAATTAGTGGTCTTCTTTTTAATATGTGGCTCCAGTATTGCTAGCAAAGCATCAAACTGAGCCACTGACATCCTGAAGTAAACTTTGAATGGCTGTGGATAATCCTGAAGCTCCTTGGTAAGGAGGTGGAAACTCTCTCTGTGCAATCTCAGGATTGGATGCGCCCAATATTTTTAGGGCCCGAGCACCGGTGGTGCGAGGACCCTCTTGTATCTGCTCCGTTTATTATTATTAGGGCCCGAGCACCGGTGGTGCGAGGTGGCTGCTTTTAATTGTACATAAACCCCCACCTCCCCAAGAAGGGGGTCTGATGGCCAAAAAATATTATTTTACTAACTTATCAATTTTAAGTTAAATTGTGCTTTGTTGGTATAGTGTCTGCTAGAATGTTAAAAATGTTCTGTTAAAAAAAAATTTAAATTGTTGTTTTGTAATTGATTTTTTTTTCTTTGAAAAGCAAGACAAAACAGAAAAAAGCACATTTTGGCTTTTTAATTTATGCAAAGGTGAAATTTTTTTTTGCAAAATACATGGGGAAAAAAACTCGAAAAACCGTGTTCGGTATTCGGTCTTCGGCCCAGTGTTTAATTTTGTTCGTTTTCGGCTTCGGACAATAATTTTCATTTCGGTGCATCCCTACTTTAGCTGGTTTGCCTTTTTCAGCTGGCCACTTCTGGCCTGGTACGGTGGTTTTAGAAGCATTTTGGGGATTTGGTCAAGATGGAAGACCAGTTGGCCAAGCAGCTAAACCAGCCGTGACCAACAAATTACATTAGTCTGGTTAAAGGTAATCTTTTCAGCAAGGTAAAGCAAGAATCAAATGGAACAGACTAAAAACAAATGGTGGCAGAAAAGAGGAATGATTAGTGATGCTCCGAAATTTTGGCAACCACAAATATTTGGCCAAACTAGTTTTGGAGGTCCAAAAACATGACCAAAACAATGTGTTTAATTGACACTTCTTCAAAGATGCATTTTGACCATGTCAGTGTCTTCATGCACACAATATACAGTAGATAAGCTACATGAGCTACAGTTGCAATATGTAAAATTTGTTAGGCTGAAATATGTTTTGGTAAAAAAAATATTTCGGTGCATGACTAGGAACGAGGTAGGGATAAATGGAGGGATCATTCTTCAAAGGCTCTTACAAGTTCAAGTGACCCCCATGGTGCAGAAGCAAGCTGACCGTACTGATTGCAATCAATACTAGGAATATCTTCTTCTGAGACATCTCCAGGTTCTTTCACTGCAAAAGAGAAGAATGGGACTTTACAAAGGTGTACATTACTCATACATTTAACATGTATCCAGAACACCAAGTATACCCTCTGCAGCAACATAAACAACAAATTCATGAGCACAAAAATGCACTGATTATGCAAACCATTGGTTTGGTTGACAGTGTTTTCTTTCAAGCTGGATCTCAAATTGCAACGTGCCTTTTTTAATGTTTTGGGTCATTCAAACACACATGTTCAGAGACAAAGACAACAAGCAAACCTAGAACAAGGACAGGACAGGTGTCACGTATTAGCATTCGGACAGTGTTGCCTGTCTAACGCTAACAAAGTCTTGGATATCTTCCATACGAGTCAGGGCCACCTCTTCCCTCGGCTTCTAATTACAGTTATCTCATCTCGCTTTCCCTTTCTCTCTCACCATATCGAATGGCACTTCTTCACAACCTGCCTTTATTTCTCCTGATCAAACCCTGATACTACTGTAGTTTAATTAGCATTAGCATTACAAAAAGGGTAAGCCATTTTGCTCTCAATGCCATTCAAAAAGAGCCAAGACCATTCAATGACATGACTTCCATTTTAAGCACAAACGCCACTGCAGAAATGCTAGTCCAAGATTAGCAATACAAACCACTGACAAATATCATGGAAACACTGCTTCTAGTTTTATGATTTTATTGCAGTCTGGACTGTTTGCAGATTTTACAGCAGTACAATTGACATTTAAATGGTTGCTACACAAAAATCACAGTTTGGATGGTAAAGCAGTGTACATTGAGCAAAAAAGTGAATGCATTACAGTGACTGTTTTCTATGACCAATATAAGGAAATTAGTTTTCCTGAAGGCAAATTCAAGTTTTAAATGCAGATGCAAATGAATACTGCAGGTCAGAGTTCAACACCGACTGGCTGTCTGGGCTTCTTTTTCCGATGGTAATATAAACCATCACCTACAGCATGAATGCATGGTCCCTTAGAGGACTGGTACTGGACCAATCAGTGTCATGTATCAGTACATGAAAAAGCTCATAGGAAAAGGCTCTAAAGACACATCAAGTAATTAATAGTGAGGTTTGTTAAGGCATAATTAATATTCCTCATACTTTAAATTAAGGATTTGTACCAATCCTTTAAACCTGATAAATGTTGGTGCTACAGGAACAAATGATACTTCAAGCCATGCAGCTTGAGAAGAGATGTGCTATTAAAACTTCAAATGACTTGAGTGCCTAGAAGAAGCTCTTATTTTGGCTAGTGAGTCTCACAGTTAGATGCAGCTCATTTCCCGCTCTTTAATTAAACTGCACGTGTTTCTAATGATCCAGAAAGATCTGGTAGCTAGGGCTGGGTATTGAATTCGATACTTTTTAGGCACCGACCGAATTGCCTCAATACCATCGAGTATCGAAAAATGTTTCATCGTTCGGTACCAAATTTCGATACCTAAGGGGTTAATCTCATCAATGTCAATGAGCCAATAAGTCTGCAGCACTAGGTGTGTTCAACTAGAAGCGGAGCAGATCGATCAGTGTTTGACATCCGCAAGAGCGATTCGAAAGCGTACAGAGCAGTCTGCTCTCTAGCTCTCGTCAGGGCTCCAAACAAAAAAATCGAGTAAGGAGCCATTGGCTCCTATAAAAATTTTAGGCGCCAAATTATTTTTATAGGTGCCACAGAATAAACGTGTTTTATTTTTTTTTATTTTTTTTACATTTCAATCATACATTCATGTGATTATGTCTCATCTTTTCTTGAAATTATCAGCATTTTAATCGATCTTGTAGATGACCTGGGAACTAAGGTTCCGTTAAAGTGGGAATTAAACATCTTTTCCAACTTGAAATATATAGTCACAAAGAATTGTTCATTGTTCAATATACACACAGCTGACAGCTTTACCTGTTGTAGTTTGTTCAAGTTGTGCACGAAATAGACTCTGCTTTTCCACACTTTTACTTGCACGTCTCCGTCATTTCGATCTCTCTCGCGCTGCACAACTGGAGCTGCGTTTATCAGGTGTGTGTCATGCAAATTTTTAAGTCATAACATAAATATATATATAGTCGCCAGTGGCGACCTCAGCAAAAACTTCACTCGCAAATTAATATTTTTGGTCGCAAATGCGACCGTTTTAGTCACAGTCTGGAGCCCTGTCTCGTGGTACTGTAATACACCGATCGGTCTGCACAGCCGGTTCACATCACTGGTTACACTCAGAGATGTGGCTCACAGGTGAGGCTGTAGTGTGACTGCATCCCAGCCACCTTAGATGTAAGGCTATATTTACACTGGTGCATTTTTGTTTTAAAATGAAAATGATCCTCGTCATACTGGTATTTCCACTGCATTTCAAGCTGGCTTTTCACCATCTCTGACAAACGACAGACCGGAAGTCATTCATTTCCAATGGAGAGTAGTGCGGTAGCTGCATGGAGTTCCATTCATATGCAGATGTCCGTTCATACTACACGACCAAAAACGTGTGTTACATGACCATTCATGCACACTGTAGCATCATGCCACATAAGACAATAAATAACATTTATATTCTGCTTTTACTCAAAACTCACTTTAAACCACCATTGAGTTTGTGTAATAATTTCCGAATTGGTGTCTAATTTGTGTTTTGGCCATGTAATCTTGCTGAAATTAGTCAGAGCAGCGATCATGGATACACTGTAGCATCATGCCACATAAGACAATAAATAAGATTTATATTCTGCTTTTACTCAAAACTCACTTTAAACCACCATTGAGTTTGTGTAATAATTTCCGAATTGGCGTCTAATTTGTGTTTTGGCCATGTAATCTTGCTGAAATTAGTCAGAGCAGCGATCATGGAAGAGAGAACACAGGCAGACAGCGCTGGAAGCTGCTAATGCTCATCAGTAAATCAGTGGAAAATGAATAGAAATGATGATTCTGTTTGAGCTATGCGTTTTAAAATGAACACACACTAGTGTAAATGTAGCCTAACAGATGTGTAAACTGAAGACTATTTGAGCTTTATTAAAACTATTTGCATTTATTGTGTTGGTTACATTTTGTTCCTTTGTGCAGTGGCTCGGGAGATGAATCTTTGAGTCTGTACAAACATCAACAAGGTGAAAAATAAAACCAAAGTTTTTTTTAGATAATGTAATCTTGTTAAAATTGATTTCATAAAATTGGTATAGAAAAAATCAGTATCGAAGTCAAGGTATCGGTATCTATATCGAAAATTTTTGAACGATATCCAGCCCTACTGGTAGCACATGAGAGCTGCTCAGATTATGTACATGGAGGGAAGGTTTGGTAAAGGTATTGTGCATTTTCTGTGCAAGAAGAAAGACTAAATTAGAGGCAGAGGAAGACACGAATCACCCACGCAACCGTCCACCTACCTACATGCACTCAAGTATGCAACACCACAGTGCGAGATAAGACATTACATTATAAATGCCCACACAGCAAAATCCCTGGTGTCAGATTAACACTGCTGGATGTCTATGTGTGTCCACACTAGGGATGTGCGGGTCTAGCTGACTAGTTGACTAAACGGTACAGCTCCTACTAGTCGACACTGAAAACAATAGTCGATTACATGACAGACAAAAAAAAAAGAAAAACAAAAACATGATTTTATCATTCAAATTACCATAATTTTAACATTGCATTTAAAACATTTTAAATAAGTTAAAATAAACGTTTGAAAAATAATACATTATTTTTAAAAGTTTATCTGGGCGGAAACTACATTTTTACCTCAGACTTCACATGCGTTTTCTTCGTGTCAGTTGCGGCGAGTTCAAAAATGACCACGCGAAAGACGAGAAGGTGTGGGATTATTTTGAATTAGAAGGAAACGGAAAAGTTTTGTGTAAACTGTGTAATGTCAAATTGTCTTACAATAACTCTTCTGGAGCAATGCGTAATCATATTCAATACAGGCACGTAGGCGTTAGTTTAGAGACTAGCCAAAGCCAGCAAATGTGTCAATCACGTCATTCACTACACCCCGCCGGCGCTGCGATCCCATCCGCGCTGTCTATTTCTCTAACGAAGACCCACTTCGGTGGTGGTGCGGGATGTCCAGACGCTTTCTGAAACTCTATTGGCTTGCTTTTCATTATCTCTGCGTGCCTGCGACTTCAGTTCCTGCCGAGCGCGTTTTTTCAAGTGCAGGATGTCCTGCATTTCCCCAGCTGATGTGAATAAATAAGCTATGCTTTGGCCGACGTTGAGTGTATGCTCTTCCCTTTTTTCTTTTTAACGACCACCTAAAATGAAATGATGATCACGCTAGGCAAGTGTGCGGCAAGCGGAATTCATTGAGGGATTTGACAGTGTGATTCATATTTTAAGTATTTCAAATATAGGCTATTATATATGCTACACGCACGCACAGAGTTTTTTTTTTCTTACCATCTTTTGGGGGTTTCTTGCTTTTAGACTAGTCAACTAGTCGGATACAAAACGTTAGTTTAAACGACAGTCAAATTAGTCGTCACGCACATCCCTAGTCCACACTACAGAGTGTTTAAAGTAACACTGAAGCGGTTTTGAAGTAAATGAGATAATTAAGTTATTAAATAAGTGATGATTGAGCATTAGTGATGAACACCTGCTGTTAACAAGCACAATCACTGAAGAGAAACAACAAGAACAGAAAAAAGAGAAACACAACAACTACAACTGATTTCCAGTCACAGCCTTAGATGAAATAAAAATCTCTCAAGATCTCAGCAGAGGATGATTAAACAACTCCACAAACAGCTTTACCAACTTCACTCATTACTAACCAGTTTGACTTTATTTCATACAAAAGTTCTTATTGAGAATTAAGAGAGGTTTATTTTCATACTTTATTGAATTTAATTTAAAGGTTGCCATCATTGCGATCAGTGTTTGCTTTAGTTGGGCTCTTCACCCTTGACTTTATAATATTTATATATTTCTCTGGCTGCTGTAATTCTGTGTTTACAAAACACATTATTATAGCAAAGAAAACCAGGAGAACATGTG